CGTTCGTTCGTTCGTTCGTTCGTTCGTTCGTTCGTTCGTTCGTTCGTTCGTTCGTTCGTTCATTCATTCACTCATTCACTCATTCACTCATTCACTCACTCCCTCACTCATTCATTCACTCACTCACTCATTCATTTATTCACGTATTCGTTCAATCATTCACCCACTCACTCATTCATCTGCTGTTGATTCATCTGTTCATTCTTTTCTCGACTACTATTCGTTGATTCATTTTGACCTCACGCGTTCATTCACAAGGTTACCGGTCATAACGCGGTTTGCCGATCAGTGCAGTGGTGTCGTAGCTCTCTGAGCAGCTGGGTGCTTCATTTGTACTTTGATTTATTCAATCGTTCGTTCAATCCTACATTCAATCATGAATTCGTTCATTCGTCTACAAAAATCACCTGAAGACGAACCAAGCATGACTCGAAACGTTCTCCGCAGAACAACCTCGTTCTCGTAGTCGATGAAAGAGACAACAAGTCTTGTTAACTAGTTAATGACAATTTGACGAAACTGGCGTCCTTAGGCCATCTGTGATGGTGCTGTCTACACAACCGACGACAAGTCGATTTCAAACCCAAACCAGTAGTCAGTGGTCTCAGTCAGGTATCGATTTGTAAGAAAACGTTTTGGATTAGTTTTTTTCTAATGTTGTCCATGCCTCCTTTAAAACGGAAGAAACGACTTCAGGAAAGACGGACAAAAAATCTATGCAATGCTTGATGAACGATTTCTGGAGATGAGCAGAAAATGTCATCCATCATGCCACTTGGATGGTCAAGACCTGGAGATCTGCTACAGTAATCTTGCTTGTGCACTCACTTCATTATGACTCTGACCGGTGGATGACACTTGTCGCTGTCATCATACACAGGTACGTCATTGATATTTGTGTTGCTTAACTTTTCTGTCCATTTCTATGGAACCAAATATGATATGACGACGTAACAGTAAATGCAATGAGTCTGTTCAAGCGATCAAATTCTGCCACAGTATATGACAGAAGGACATCTACCAACTCAATCGGTTTCACGCATGACGATGACAATGATTAGAGCTCTAGGTGGCTTCAAAACATTTGCACTGATCTAGATTCGGTAAATGAACGGCTACCCTCACCCTTCCCCTCCCTCACCGGCTTCTCCTCCACCACCATTGTGGCAGGCGTAGATACGCTATTTCCATGTTTGATCAGACGTTTATATTCCAGGATTGGCATCGTAACCTGAATCATGAAACTTGTCTGAAGTGGATCAAGTTCGAGGCATGATTTGATTGAGGTAAGTCATTACCATGCTGAACAACTCAACCCTGAACGATCATGACGGCATTAATAAATCATTGAGTTGTCTGCGATGAGGAGTAAACGCTGAAGACAATCTTTCCGCAGACTTGTTCTGAAAGTGAAACAGGCGCCATTACGATGTTAGTCGCATTTCCATGGCAAGCCAAATAACCTGTGCCAAAATCGATTAAACTCAGTAGATGATAACCTCTACTGCAGTCTGCGTTTTTTTCTAATTGCTTACTCTCAATGTCTTTGGTGTACGGTGTTCAGGGTCAATGAATGTAACCTATGGCTAATAATGCAACTTGTATGTGGTGCCGATGTTCAAATGGACGTAGTCCATCGATAAACTGGCATTTTTTGCGGAGCCTGCGACTCGCGTTCTGCATGCATGGTCAGCTTCGCCTTTCGGTACCAGGATTGCTCCCTCGAAACTCGCCTCTTTCCAGCTGCTCCTTTCTGGACCATTAGACATTGCTGAAGTGCACATGTTGGTCAAATGCAGCTGCCCAATTTCAGCAGTGGAACGGATCGTCTCTGAATTAACGGCAGGACCTTCCCTAAGTTTCACACTACATTAGCAACTGTGATGCTTGGTTCCAAGCGATGACAACTTTAACGCACAGGAATACTTCAAACTTTCCACACACTGACTGCCCAGCTGACGGACGGACGGACTACCTTTTCACTCAAGTACCTGATATCGCGTAAATGCACGTTCTGTTTACATCAACCTTCGTTCAGAGTGTCGACGGATGGCTTAAATGTTATGAACAGTTCACAGCACCGGATACCTAGGTGATGGAAGGAAGAAGATATTATATTAATATGAAATAACTCATGACTCCCCGGTACCAGATTTCATGGCGTATTGCTCTGCCTCGTTGCTGTTCGTCACCTGCGGGGGAGGAAGGGGTGAGCATTTAAGTATGTCGTGGCTCCATCAGATCTAAGCACCTTCAGTGCTTCTAGCATCTCGCACTGTTTTGTACGTACGCTACAGACACATCATACTCACCACGAATCATGTTTCAGGAGCTGATATACTATTATGTTACCTCATAAACATCAAAAGAGTTATACCATCGTCAGAGTTAGCCAAATGGCGCATGACTCCTAGAATTGCAGAGTCGTAATGTAATGCAATGTGCATAAATGCCAGGAAGGCTGTTACAAACAGAATAATCCTAGATGCATTTCGCAATGCATTACGTCGATTGCCATTACGCTATCGCCTGCTTACATGTTCCCCCTTTCTGCAATTAGGAAAAACTGGCGGTACAATGCTCACTGAAATCTGGTTTTGGAGGAACCATGCGTTATTTAATATACTCCGTCTACGAACAGCTCATGGCGTTTAAAACATTGCCGTGTGCCTTAGAAAGTGACAGAAGCACCAACATCGCATATCCCAATGGGAACTTAATGTGGGACACATTTCGCAGCATGTGCTGCATGAAATCACACCTCCTTGTGTTTGATGGTTGCCGACCGTCCGCGACGGCGACTTGCACCTCTGATTACAGTCAAATCAGAATGTTGCACTTTGACGAGGTACAAACTCGCTGTGACTCCTCAGCAGCCCAGATGGCCGACCATGATCGACGTGATCGGCCATCGTCATGTTAGCAGCATGGACGACAGTTGTTTCAGACTCATACGAAACAGCAACTTGTGACTGATTAGCGCCATACCTGCCGTTGGCACCTGTCACCAAAGTCACCGAAGCTTGCGAGAGCTTTCTCAAGCGAGAAGCTAATGAGCTGCACGCACGACGTCGGAACGGTAAAATGAGGTGTTTTTATTTCATTTATTTCACGATGAGCGTTGCTTCACCGAAACCTCATCTTCGTCAGATCTGTGCCTGTCTGACACCTCCTCGGCCCTCAAATCGGTTCAGCAACCAGAACGTTCGTCTTTCGATCCTGACATATGATACATTGACCGGCTGGCAAAAAAAAACAGTTTAATTGCTTTACAATCAGCTATCGTTTTACCCAGATCGAAATCAGATAGCTTACATCGATTAAGCGCGTTGCTCGCCCTGTGCACACGGCACAGTCCGTAATTCTTATCATTACCCAAGCCAAATGTGCCCCCTGGCATTCCCGTGTTTTCTACGTCAAGCGGATTGTACTGTTCCACCAGGTAGCATGGCATTTGTACGTCGTCAGCCAACGGGCGTTTATGCAACAAAGCAGCGAATGGTGACTGTCACATTACGGTGAGTGAGTCAAGGATCGATTGAACCTCGTTAGCATTTTTCTTTAACTCACCCTCTGTCGTGATTTTCACACTAGATTATGAGCTATGATGAGGGTGAGTCCAACTGCAGCCCCACGAAGAGATCACATTAAATGCTATCAACCGGCCGTCCGTCTCGTCCATTCCGCTATGACCACGTCATGACACAATGCTGGCCTATCGTTTCAAAGTCCGCTTTTCAGTCGGCTGCAGGGAAGCGAACTAGTGAAAACCCCATGCTCAACTGAATCAACACATCAGAAAACTTTTTTGGGGCTGAACGCGACACCCTCGAGTTTCGAAGTCGACCTACCATCACTGTGAAAGTGTCCTCCCTCTCGCAGAGTGTGCAAATGGTACGACGTCACGTCTTCTGAGTTCACAAAGCCAATCGCTGTAGTTCGTTATATCAGACGGAGGCATGCTGGCAACATGAAAGGATCGGAATAAAGCAGAACGACCGGTTTCGTTGGCAGACCTGTCTTTCTTGAAAAATCTAGCTCGCTGATTCGCTGACTACTAACTAATACGTACTAGTACTGACTACTACTGAAATGAGTAGCTCAGTTGCGAATTAGTCAGACGGCTAATCAAAGAATGTGCAGCACAACCACCCAAACTCCTTTTCTGTTCTTGGGATGGAGACAAATAAGCGTCACCATTAGTTAATTAAGTAACGAGCGAAAAACTGAACTCTGAGTACCAGTGCATGAGTAAACTCTCGATCAGTAAATGAATGATAAACAAATTAATGGAGGTGCGAATGAATGAATATTTTGCTACTTGAATAGAAGCACCGATGACTCCCATTGTTGCCTGAAAAGCAGATGAGTGCTGACCGGATTGTCAATCAAACTGTAGAGATCGTCTTCCAACGTATTACAGTTCTGGTTAATGGTATCCTTACGGATGACGGCGTCATCAGCTTTATTCACAACGGTGTTACAATTTGTGGAAGTATATGGGAGACCGACATTCTGAGGGTTAAAAACTTTCCTTACCTTAAATTCGACGGCAATTTTACTTGGGGCCTTGTTACAAAAAGTAGATCAGAAGACTGCAACAATTTCACCTGAGGAATTAGAAGCAACACCGTATTACCAAGGAAGGGTCGGCTTCATCAGCCTTCTTTTTGAATATGACTGAATCATGAGTTCGTTTGTATCTTACTTTATTCCCGATATTAAAATGACTGATGTGGCACTTGGTTTTGTTCTGTGCATACCGAAGTAAAATGAGTACATAAGTAAAGTGAGGAACAGCAGACGTCTTGCGTAAAGGTCATCAGTGATTGAGTGCATGTACAATGTGTAATATTCACCTGTATCATGAATGACTGGATCAAAGACAAAATCAGAGTTGGTCTAATGAGGTAGCATACTGCTGTGGCAAGAGTAATCGAATGTGTAAAATTTCTGGTCTGCTGTGGGGGTGAAGTTTGCAAATGGTGCTGGAACCCGTTCTGGCAGTGGCATTTCCCCGCCACTCGCCGATGATACCTGCACGTGACGAAAACCTCAGCCCAAGAAAATTGACACCCAAAGGAAACTGCCGAACAACCAGTCGCCAAAAAACGAAACTTTCAGGAGGAAAGACGATCGGAGAGGCATCGACTTCTATTTGTGAAGCGTCCACAGCGAGTGCAACTCAGATGATATGACAACAGTAAACTATTAATTATTAACAACGCCCCACCAACTATGGAAGAAATTCGAGAAGCGACAGGTTTTTGTCGAGCGAAAAAGTCCATCATTCGGCGGAAGTTTGTGATTGCAGAAGAGAGGGAAAAAAGCATGGTTATCCGGATTTTCAAAGCTGAGAATAGCACCACTATAACAAGCTATCGATGGATTATCCTTCGGCATGTGCTGCAAAAATTTTCTTTCGGGATGACTGACGCAGACCATGGACCACCCGTTGCGAACAAATCACACAGGGTGCCGAATGGGGGAGGACAAACACATCTTCATGCTGAAAAGAACAGCAGATTAGTGCAGTAGATCTCAACCGCCTTGGCATGCGACTTTTCTCCGTTTTAGTGCACCCTTCGACTCATTAATCGCACGGAAATGTGGCCAATGTCTCACTCGACACCGTGGAATCCAACAGGTGATGGTGAAGCTGATAGAAGGTTTGACCCACGGGACGTAATACGCCGTCCGAACTGAAGGAGCTCTTTCGAACGATCCAGCATTACCAGTGAAGGTAATTGGTCAAGGTAACGTGCTGTCGCACCTTTGCTATTCGACGTCATATGGAAGTGCGCCCCACCAAGTAACAACCAGGGACCGTCAGCGACGACCTACGGTATTCCTAACGGACCGCCCATATGCCGATGACGTGTGCTGCTGAACGTCTCCGCACGTGGACTACTAACATTCATCGAACGCGCGCTGCATGCCGCTATGACGGTGGGGATGCAAGTGAACACCTAAAGGGCGAAGATTATGAAAGCCCCCTCTGAGCCCGGCAATGCAAGGAAATCACAGAATGGTAGTATAATGGAAGAGAGAGGGGGGCATTTGAAGTACCGTACCACGGAACTGCGTCGAATTTCGGCAAGCACAGTGCCATATGGTATGACCTATAAAAACGTCACGAAGATCGCCACCCTGAAAGCAGCCATGTTCGCGATGCCCATGCACAGTCTCGACACATTTGGCATCCTTAAACAGGATAAAGTTGGTCAAGACAGCCTCCAATGAGGCCGTTTACAGAGAATCCTCAAAGCGCGATGGAACCCCCGAGTCGCAAGCGGGGCGTGCTGACGACCAACGGTGTGAGAAAAACACCAAACGAACTCAACAGTGGTCTCTGACTTGGTTTGATGAAACTACCCAGAAGGAAAATAGAGATATGTTCATCGCCATGCGATGGAGGACAATACAGAAAATGGAAGCATCGTTATGAGACAAACCTACTTGCGGAGAGAAATATGACCTTTGCCACAGCAGCGAACGTTGCTTGTTATAAATTTGAAATAGCACTTTGCTACAGTACCTACCAAATCAGGGTTATTCTGATATCTAGGCTCTGTTGACTTCAAATGACGATCACAAAACGGCAACAACAAGGCTACCTGCCATCAGAGACATTCCTTATCAGTATTACTACTATTTTTCATCTATCCATTTTAGTAAAATCACTATCAGAAACAAAATTGCGATTATTCCCATCATAGCACATCATTCCTGTCGTTTTAGTGGACTGAACCGCTTGTGCATGCATGGACTCACAGTAAACTCTTCCCTCTCGGCATACATGGACGACCGTTATGCTCGTTGAACATGGGTACTCAACTCACTGAACTTCTGACTAACAATCGAAACAATCATGGTTTCGAGAATTCGTTCGGTGACTGTTGAGTTTCTCAGTATTTTGCTTTTTTAAGATAGGCAAGCGAGTACTACTTCATGGGAAATTATATATGGCAATGATCGCCTAGTTATTGGTATAACCTCATAAAAGCAACGCGAACACAGCAATGAGCATTAATGCGCATCATCATAAGCTCCATCAAAGAAAAAATGCCCAGGATCACGTCCCGTCATGGAAGTATAACGGACATGAAGTCCAAACTGTTGTAAACTTGCTTT